ATTCTATTTGCAAGATAATAATGTTCTTTGGAAACTGTTCCTGTTCTGTGCTATGTGGGTGGGGAAATACAGATCCAGGAAATAAACTTACCGTTCTCAGTGATTAGAGAAGTTAATGGCTGTCTCACACATCTTTTTTAACCTTTTTGTTCTTACTACTTTCTAGCTTTCATTTTTGCACTCTGTCCTACAGCAACTCTGATCTCACAGCATGTAAACTTGTCATCCCTGAATTTCTTCATCTATGTCCCCCGTCTTGAAGAAATGTGTCGAGCTATCACTCCAAATCTTCTTCTATGTATCAAGGAGAGCAAAATCAGAGGTCTGGCAAGATCTCACTGTGGGATTGCGAGGGGTTGGGGCAGCAAAGATTTTCTCAGGTTCAAATTCTAAAGTTCAAATGCTATAAAAACACACCTCTTACTGTTCTGGTAGTGGAAGAGAGAAATCATTTGGCGTTGACCCATATCTAATCCAAGTAAGGATGAGCAAAGCCTAGAATTTAACTCTGGGTTTCAGAACAAACAAACAAACAAACAAACAAACAAACAAATGACTTCATGCTGTGTTCTTATAAAGCAAAAGTAAAATCAAAAATCACTAAGATCCGAATTATCCTGAGGTATATAGGTGAATAATTGTTCTATATTATATTCTGCAGCAGGAAAGCCATCATAACACTTCAAGAAACATATACATATATATATAGCAACCATTGATATAATATATTCACTAGGAAATGTTTCCTTCTTCACTTACTATACAAAGGACTGAAGAGGTGTAATTATCCCCTCCAACATTTAACTGGCTCTCCTCTCTGCCAGGCCAAAAAAAAACCTTTGAACCTGGCATTTCAATTCCACTGTGCAGCTAAGCATTTTCAGCACACATGTATTTTTCTTGCCCTGGGGTAACAGAATCAATTTGTTAATTCAGCTGTTAATTCAGGTGAGAGAGTAGTGCTGTTTCATATATTTCTAAGGCTTCTGTATAACCGTATAACCTTTAACTATGTCTGATCTTCTCACAAACACACTGTTTTGGAATTTGCACTAAAGATCGTAAATTATTCTAGGATTTGGTTCTACCTTCAAAAGGTATTTAAAGTGAGGTATCTGGCTAGTATTTGGTAATGATTATGTAGCGAATAAAGTTTCCCGCCAAATCCTGTGTTGCACCTGGAGCAATACCCCCAGTTGCTGAGCTGGAGGAAATGTGAGGGTGATCCTCCCATATTCAGTAGCACAGCAGGGCACTTGTTACCCACACGCAAGGAATGGGTGAAGAGCTAAAGTGTTAACATGCGTCATGTAACCAGCTCCTTTGGCTTGTAAACTCTGCATCTGAACTACACCATTGCCTGCCTTCCTGCTGTAAAATGACACAGTGGGTCTCTGTACAATGATCATTAGCCTGTATCCCTCTTCAGACCGTAAAAGGTGATGCTTCATCTCTGCATGAGTACACATACAAAGCTGCTGGAACTACATATTATAAAACACTTGAGGAAAGATGTGTAGCACCTGTAAGATGAGATGATTATTATGCTGAGGAAATCAGATGCAGGATAGGATTAATAGTATCCAAGATACCTAATAGCTGAGAAATCTAGCTAGAATAAACATCTGCACTCAGTATGACTTAGTCATTAACTAATTTAGGCTTCTTAAAAACATTTCATGTGTATCTCATAATTCCAGGAACACAACAATCCTTTTACTGCATTGCTGCTTGGCTATCTGAAGTGTTAAGTTGTGTATTCTATGGACGCATCTGCTTCTAATACAGTTGTTTTCGTTCCCAAGAATACAGTTTTAAAAAATATCTCCTAGTTTCTTTTGAATTTTTTAAATGATTCTTTTAATAGAACTTGTGGAATGTATTTAATTTATATAGAATTGCCACATTCATTTTTCCATGAGTTCTTCCTACAAAACATATTTTTGACTATGCAGAACTAAAATATTTATATTTGTCAGTATTACATTCAAAACAAACTCTGTAAACATACCAATCACTTTCTGACTTGGTCTTCTTCTGTTGAAAAAAGGACCAAAAGAATCTCAACTACTGAGACAACAAATTCTTCATTGCAAGACTACCTTCAAGGATTTCACTCTTTGCTGGACTCCTGGATAAGACAGAAAAGATCAATATGAAGATCATAAAAACTTCTTTGTCTGATACTTTTTATAATTATACCCACTGAGGGTGGAGTTTTCTGACTTGAACTCAGACATTTTATCTAAGCTGATCTTCTGCCATCTTAAGAAGGAAGAACCTTCATGAATCTATCAGGCAAATCCTTAACAGGTACAAACTTTCATAGTTCCTCCTCTTAGCTCTCACTTCTAATAATAAAATGTTCACCGAAAGCTCTATTCAAACGCTTTACACGTTTCTCAGTATGTGCGCATTTAAGTAGCTGATTGCTTTGGAAAAAATGGGAATTATCTAGACCAGTGCAAAAATATGCTACTTCCTATTAACTAAAGATTATACATATCTATTCCTTGGAAGAAAACACATTGTTATATTTCTAGAGTCTTCTAGAATCTAGACCAGCTCTATCTGCTGACACTGAATTCCTTAAAAATATTCTTAATCTGGAGCTTTCTCTCCCACCAGTTATTTAATTTGTTTCAAGGGCACAACTGCACAACTTTTTTCATTTCATGCACTCTTTCAAGGATCTCAGCTTCATCCCAGCTGCAGAAACACCAAACAAGACAAACAAAACGCTATCTTGGTTCTTTCATATTTTTTCTGCTGCTCTTCTCATTTCTCTTCAAGACTATTTTTCCACTCCAAGAGACTAGAACTATTCTCTTTCCCCACTGAGCTCAGGAAGCCCTCTTTCTTCCAACATCCCTTCTCCCTGTCTCTAATTCTCTTCTTCCTTTTGGGACAATATTCATCTTTGGGGCTTGTGTCTATTTACTTGGCAATGAGATTGCCACATAAAAGTTCCCAAAGAAATGTCTGCGTATCAATGCCATATCTCCTACTCTAGCACGGGTCCTTCTCCAGTACCACGTCTCACTACAAACTACTTAGTTTAAGTGGTTGGCAGGGAAATAATACTTTCAGATATATTACCTCCTTTCAGAGGGACTTAGAGGTGCAGTTTTAGCACAATGGCCACAGTGAAATAATCAATTCTGCCTGAAGGATGGACCTGCAGTATTCACACTTTCAGAGGAACTTCCGTGGCATTTTGTAAATGTTTTTCATGCATGTCCTCTATTTTCATTTCTCTCCATGTCTCAAGTTTAGGATATAGCTGAAATAAATTAGATCAATTCAATGAACAGTTTGCTACGATGTGTCTCTCAGTCATTCTCAAAACAAAAGAAACCCAAAAGTTTGTCAACCTATTTTCTGTAGACATATGCAAGTAACCTGGCCTAGGTGATTCAGTGTTTATTCCTTTCCAGATTTAGCGCTCCCTATGAGGAAAAAAAAATGAAGGGCTGTGTTTTAAATGCCTTGCAAAACAGTGGGTTTTTTCGCAGCCTTAGTAAGTATTGTTGTCATAACGATATGTTGATGCATGAATTGAGCAGTTTATTGTATCACTTGCACAAAATTTAGTATGTCCAAAACACATAGTTTGAACAAAGACTTTTTTTTTTTAAATCAAGTACATGTAGGCAGCAGCACAATTGACTGAGTTTGCAGAAGTACGGCTTTGAAGAAGAATCCTGTTTTAATGGAGATTGTCTCTGTCTTTTCTAATGATGATTAAGGCATTACTCACTGCACTTTGTAAGGGCAAAGGGTGAAGCAGTGCTAATGTATTGAGGAGGGGCTTCCCCTACACTGGCAGTGTGGAAAAAGAGAACTTTGTCACCCTAACGCCACTAACCTCAGAGTGTCTGCCTCGAGTGACTGAGAGAAATATCTGATCGAAGGAAAGACAGCAGAATGCGGAGGCAGGCAGAAGACATTTGGCAGCCAGCCTTTCTGAGGGGAGGCAAAGAGCAAAAAAGAAAAAAAAAAGAAAAATAACACTTTGAATGAATAAAATACGAAATAAGAACTTTTTTTTTCTCAAAAATCAGTAAGCATACTGCAGATGTAACCAATATATTTTATACATGGTGTGGGAGTTTTTTGAAAGAGGTTTTTACTATCAGAAAATGCCAGCTGGCGCAAACAAAACATACCAGCTCCTGCTCAGTCTCATAGAGTAAAGTTGGGCCTTCTGATTCAGGCCTGAGATTAAAAGGACAGTGCTCAACCTTTTGCTTAATGTGTTGACCACAAGAAGCTGATGTCAAGGAAACACTGCTCTCCGATTTTTCATTGAGGAAAACAAAATCTGTATTTGCCTGATACAGAAATCTAAAATTGAGGAAATTGCCAAGATCTCTTAGTAAGTCTGTGAGTATGGAGTATTATAAGTATAAGCAACCTCTTCAGCTACTGGATTCTCTAACAATCAGTGCGCTATTTATTATCTTAATAATTTTTTAACTTTTAATAAGCAGAAATTAAGACAAAATATGATCCTATCACATTTACAAATCAGGTACCACTCTGACCTTACTTCTTTTTCTACAGTCATGATGCTTTTTGCTAATGCTATGCACAACGGTATCTATAATTCACCTCAGAAGTCCTCTCCAAAAAGGCTTCTCACTGCAAATGGAGTTATTACATGAGGGATATAACCTCGACTTTCTCCTAGGGTGGGATACAGATTTGCATGCAAAGCAGTCTGGTCCTTAATGCCTGGATTAAATCATCAAGAACATTACAAAAGTTGGTATTTAAATTAAGAATAAATTGTAATTTTCAGCCATGGTGTTGCTCTATTCTAATGTTCTGTATACTGTGGCTGAACCATCCAACATCTGGACTGTGAATATGATACTGCCAAAGCTGTCCTCAGTGGCTGCCAAACTGCTGAGCCCATACGTGGCTACACAGCTTGATATCCAGAGAGCTCAACTATGATTCAAATTCTGAAAAATCACCAGTTCTACAGCTATAATATGATTCAGCAGTTTGAGGAGATCCTTCATAAGGAGGAAACAAAAAAAAAATCTGACCATAAACGGCATGCAGTCTTTAACACAAGAAGTATATGCCCTGAATGCCTTCACAGCAGAGCTCCTTAACTGCAATGGTTAGTACAAAACATGGCTAACCATAAGGACCAGGGGCTCCTCCAACAATGGGAAAAACCTCAGCTAACTCCCCTAATTTCAATGGTACGCAACATGTTTAAATTTGAATATACCAAAGCTTCTCCACGTGTCTTTTGCTGGTACTGTTTAAAGAACATTTCAAAACCATTAACCAGGTAGAGAGCACACTTCTTTAGGAAAGAAAGCCTCCAGTGGTATTCCAAGAATGCAGCTAGCGAGGAGGATTCATTCCCTACAACACAAGGATACTTGATTTGTAAATCAATTAATGCTCGTGAACTGACAAGGAACAAAAGATGAAATTTTGCGCGTGCACACACGCATACAAACACACGCACAGGCACTCACACACACACACAGGGCATTGGAGCCCTCAGTGTTACGCTAATTATTCTGTGTGCTCCAGTGGTGTTTACACATACAAAAAATGTGACCAAAGCTTGCCAAAATGAGGTGTCTACCATTCTGGTACACGGACGAGTTCAATTGCTAATTCACACTGCAAAACCTGTTCCTTACACCTGGCTCTTTGCCTTCCTAAAGATAAAAATAGTTAAATTCTGATTTTCATTAGTTATTGATTGTTGCGTCAGGCCAGCACTCCATTAAGCCATGAGAACACTCAGACTTCAAGCTGTGTTTCTTAACGCTGACTGGTCAGACAGGTCAGACATCGCCCATCCATCTGCACCATGCTCATTCTTCTGGAGACGATGCCTACAGTTCCTTTGCCAAGCAGATTGGCTTAATGAATATTCCCTAGTCCTTGCAAAATATGTGTTCAGCCACTCGGGAAATAATAAAGTGGAATAAATGCTGCTACAGTTCAAGTTGAGCAATTTTTTCAGCACTACAAAATATTGCTTTAGGAACGCTTGCCTTTAAATATAGTACATGAGAAAAATTGAGTCTTTTTTCCTCATTCTCTTCTCTTTACCGGTAATTCAATTGGAGATTGAGAGGTAAAATCAAGCACATCTGGGTCAATTAGCATGGAAAGTCAATTCTTTAAAACCTGATGGATGCCTCTGGGAATCGTGCGCTTCACAGCACGAATCTCAGTGCAGTGCCGCACTCTCAGCAACTCAACTCAATTAAGCCATTACGTGGTTCTTTAAATCTGGGGATCTGGGGGAATTGCTTAATTGTCTGCTTGTCATGGTTCCTCCTCAGGGAGCATGTAAACGTCTTCTGTTTCTCCTACAGATTTGCTGTGCACATAAGAACAATCCATTTTAGCTGACTTATTCAAAGCTTGTTTCTCCCGTGGGAAAATTAATCTTCCTCCTCAAACACTCCCCAGAGAAACAAAGCTCTCCAGTGGAAATAAACCTTTCCATCTATATGGAATACGTTTTTAATGATCACAGCCAAGTTTATATTTCCTCTTCCTTGCAAGCCTCAACTATTTCTCCCTGTTTTCACATGATCATAACTTTCACAACCTGTGATGGGGTTTCACTGTTCTTCTCAGTGACAAACAGCTCTGCAACACACTGGGACGTACCTAAAGCCCAATAAATCACATGCTGACTTTACTATCAGCAGAGCCTGAGCTAGCTGTTTAAGCATTTATACATCACTGTATTCAGTGGAAAGAGCTGAGCATCTCCAGAGGATAACTCATCCCACAGTCAGTTAGGTGGCAGAATGACACTTTGGGGGTACAAATCTGTCTCCACTGAGAGCTGTTCAGCATCCACTGAACCAAAGGGACCTACTAACGAGATTTTGAACAACCAGCCTAAGGTAGACATCCAACTTTTAGACTGATAAAATTAGTGAGATTAATCCCACCCACATCTCCCCAACACTGTCACGGTGACAAACAGCCAGTAAAGACGGACTGCCTCATACCACATCAGTGAGCTTCTCTTCACGTGTACACAAGTGACTGCTTTCACTCTTCGTTCACTTCATGTTTCAGACTGCTGAGCACCCAAAAACTCCAGCTGGCCTCAAAGGGAGACAGTAGCTGGGTGCTCAGAATTGTGGAAAATAAATCACCTAATTTAGCCCCTAAATACGGACTTAGAAGGCTAACTTTAGATTCTGATTTTTTTTTTAACTTGGCACAGTGTTAAAATCCATCCATGAGAAGAGTGAATTTTTTACCATCAAAGAGCAGTAAAACAACTTCTGCAAGGTCATAGAGTAGGACGACTAGGATTAGAATGCCACAAATTTTGTGTGCTATAACTAGAAAATGATTCTCCTTCCTAAATGTAACATAATTGGGGCATAGTCTGATAAATGGAGACTGAGTAAGCCACACTACATCTACTGATGTGTTCTGCAATGTCTGGATGCGTCCCCAACCCTAGCTATGAAAGGAAACGTAATTATGGTAATAGGAAAGTGCAGTCCACCCATCATCTGGGTTACCACACACATACGTAACTGATTTCAAATATAGAACTGCAGTAATGTCTTTTACCCTCTTATCTTCTTTAGATCCCTGTTCTCTAAAGTTACAAACTTGACATCTTTTCCTCTGACAAGAGAAACAATCTATTTTGGTGTATGCGCTGTTGCTGAAGGTTTGTCATGTCGTTCAGTACATGCAGAACGGCTGCTCCCTGCTAGCAGAGAGCTGCCGTTAGGGGCAGACACCCCCACTTGCCCACACAGATCTAACCAGCCAGGGCATTTGCTTGGGAACAGCGGTGAGGATGAAGGGAAGCTAAGTCTGAGGAAGAAAGTTCAAGAAGGAGATGAAGATCAGGAAACCGGCAATCTTTACAAAGCAGCGTTGTGCTTTGGAGCCTATGCCAATTTTAAAAATGAGGCATAAGTCTCTTTTTGCTGTCTCAGCCATGAATGCAGGGCAGTGTAGAGATTCACAAGCCTGCTTTTAAACAGCCTAGCTTGACTCACAGCAGACTTGCTCACAGCAGACTAAGCAGAGCAGCATAGCACACAAGGCAGGCTAATTTACACAGCTTTCGGGATGGCAGTTTAGACACATTAGTCAGCTCCTCAGGCCTAAACAGGTATATTTGCATTTGTGTACTCAGAACACGTCACTCACTTGGTTTACATCACCTGGAGGACTCGGCTTCAAAAGTTGTGCAATATGTATGTGTCATTTAAAAATTTCAGCTGCAACCCAAGTACGTGCAAGGGTTCCTGACGGCAAGCACTCTGGCTCTCCTGCCTGTCTGCACGCCAGTGACGCAATGCCAGACACTTTTCCTCCTGCAGTGGAGTGGCATGCAATTATTTTTGTGCACCTCAGCTCGGGAAAACAGTTGCAAAAGTATGTGTAATGCCTTGGTTAGAGGAAAAAAGAGGAACTATTTTATTAACTTTCATCTCCTAAACCACAGTGTGCTGGATAGATAGATTTCTAGTTTCACCAAGTTATGCGGGTTGAAGTGGCTTATCGCCAGATGTTTATAAAGGTATTCGGAGGTATCTAAAGTTGAAAAGGAGGGTTTACTGTAACTTTAAAAAACACTAGTATCTTTAGGCCATCATGCTTAGATGTTTACCACAAGATACAAGGAGTATAATCAAAGGCATCAGTGAGGAAACTGGGAGAAAGTGGGAATTGTGACCTACACATAGCCACACAAAGCCACCTTCTTGTACCTGCCTTGCTCTTCTGCTGAGTGAAGGCATGTGGCAGCAAAGTTGTCCCAGCCATGGCAGGGCCAGCCAGCTCCAGCACCGACAGCCCCTCCTTCCACACTCAGTGCTCTGAACAGTCACAAATCAGAGCTTCACGTCCCTTCCTTTTCCATTCAGAGACAAAATAACACAATAACTCTGTTCTCCGTGAAAATAATACTGATGCCCATGTACATGCATCCGGACCAGTTGTCCAACTGTTGTAGATTCATGGCATTTTAATTTCTTTTTTCAAACAAATCCATCACCAC